TATTAAATATTGTGACTTAGCCTTTTTTAAAACTCTTTTTTTTTAACTTTTTTCTCATTAAAATAAAAATTAAAGAAATTATTTCTTCAAAAGTCTGTTTGGGGCCGGGGAGATGGATCAGTGGAATAAGCGCTTCCCTGGCAAGCACAAGGGTCTGAGTTCAATCCCCGGTTCTGAAAAAAAAAAAAATCTGTTAATATTCAGAGGTAAATCCATATAGTCCTAAGATGTTTTTTGTTGTGAGAACTTTTACTACTGCTATAATATGTTTCCTAATTATTGACCTACATGAATTTATTTTACATCCCTTGATTAAATTTTGTCAGATCTTATATAAGCCTTTGTCTTCTTAAACAAATTTATTAGTTTTTGGTAAGGCATTAATCAAAATGAATGGAGGTATTCATATTTAATCAACAAAGATGACTACAAATAGAGTTACTCACAGGAACAAGACCAAGTTAATGCATCCCAGAATTGTATAAGGGTTGCTTTAAGACCTTGACAACAACAACAAAAAACTCCTTTCCTTACTTAGTAGTCTCTATTTAATATTATAATAATACTTTCTAGATAAACTAATATTCTGTCATTTAAAATGAAGTTTACGTTCTACATCAGTCTGGTAGAAAAAAAAGATAGGAAAAATATAGAAAATAAAGTGTTCTTAGAAGGCTCTGAAGAGCAGAGGACACTGGAGAGTGCAAAATAAAATAGTGCAGGATCAAAGCAGAACTTCCTGAAGGAGACTCCTACAATGCTCAGTATTATCATTCAGTGCAATGATTTTCAGATAATTATCAGGAGAGTCTGTGGTTTTTTTTTTTAATTTTATTGAGAAAAAATAGCAATGAGACACTTTCCAAAGAGGTTAGTAGGACAGTTATAATAATTAATACATTGCATATTGTTGTCTTCATAGTAGTTATTCATAGTGCACGATGCAGACACGATATCTTGTCCAAACACTATTAGTACAAATCTTACTTCTCATTGAATTAAGAGAAAGTAGCTGTATATCTATCCTAACTATATTGTATATACAGATACAAAGTGATCCTTCATTTATATCCCCCTTTTTCATTTAGTTTTGTCAGAGATAGGTATTCCATTGCCATTTAAATATTGTAGGTGTGTGAATTCAGCAAAATAATCCAATATAGTCCAGTAGTCCGTAATCGTAGTGTGTTATCTGTAGGACTGGCAATGTCAGAAGTTGTTTTGGCTTGAGCCTTTCACAGCTCAGCATATTAATATGGCTTTACATTTTATAACTCATTTTTATACTTTTCTGCTGGATGGTTAAGACCAAGATAAAGTAAGACCTATATAACAAGAAATGTAACTTTTGTATCTAACAAGGTCAGTCAAATCCCCTCAGGATTTATCCTGAAGCCCTGTACCGCAGTTTATAGATCCTTTGTCAGTGTCAGCCATGTGGATGAGTCACCAGCCAGAGTTTTTTCATGGGGACAACATGTAGATTTATGACAAAGAAGATAATCTCCAAAGACAGACCATCACTAATAAAAATCTCTATTCAGCTATTAAAAATATGCTAGTTTAGAAAAACATCTTTCTATGAGCTAAATTTTTCAATTGAGAAAATGTATGTAAGGGCTGGCCAGATAGCTCAGCAGACTAAAGTGCCTGCTTAGGCAGAGCACAGTAGCCTAGGTTCTATCCTTGGCACACTGTGTTGATCCCACCCCTGGGGAGTGCTGAGATCATGATTGAGACTAGGCATGGTGGCACTTGCTTATAATCCCAACACTTGGAAAACTGAAAGTAGGAAAATCACTATGAGTCTGATCTATGCAGTGAGACTCTGTCCACCCTATGGACACTGCCCTAAAAAACTAAAAAAGAAAAAGGAAAGTATATTTAATGCTCTTTCAGTTCTATCTGCAACATAATAAATGTTACCAAATGGGAATAATAATTTATAAATACCATAATGTCATTTTTTCATATTTGTAGGTTTACATGACATCGGCACATGCTTTAAGTGTAGTACAATAGAAAACAAATTATGCTTAAAATAAATTGGCATTATTTTATAAGTGGATAATGCAAAACGTAGGATTTACTACATAAGAAACGACCTAATTGAAAATAGTGCTTGAAGCCATTTACAAATATATAGCACGTATAAAAAGAATATATAAACATGTATGTTTGTGAAATGCAAATACATTTTGATATTTGAGTATTCTTGATTATATTTATTTTTCACTAGTGCCATTCTTCTATCAAATATATCTGTCATAGAACATCAACTCAAAGTGGGTAGGGAGAAGGAAGCTTGGATACAGAGAAAATTACTTTTACAGAACAAAACAAAACAAAAAGTAGCTGAATTACTTCCCACATGAGCTGCTGGAAGGACATAGATGCAAAAGGAAAGTGGAAAAGATAGGCCTTAAAACAACAGTCACAGCTACACATTCTTTGGTTCTACTGAAAACATCTGTCTATAATATCCAATGTGTTTTGAGAGGCTGAACAAAGGAAATGGACAATAATTCCCTATTTCCTCTTAAACGTCTTTCCCACCTAAGTTCTAAGATTCTTCTCCGAACATGTGAGATCTCTGGAGTAAAAATGAATATGTCGCATATCCAATGAAAGAGAGAAAGCCTTCCTATAGTTCTCCTCTCTATTGCTAAGCCCAGAGTGATCTAGAAGTCTTTATTTCACTGTAAGGAACTCATAAATCATAATAATGGTACACTTATGATGTTGTCTATAGGGTTTCCTTGGCTGTATGCAGATTAGGCCATAAAAAAACACATTTGCAGTGCAAAAAAAAAAAATAGGAAAATGTAGGTCAGGTACCAAGACTTGTTCGATAAAAGCCAAAGATGTGGAAGGGTCACTGAATAAATCCAAAGGAAATAACCAGCCAAATTCTACGTAGTACACAAAACTGACAAGGTTCTATAAAAAGTAAGGAGGCAAAATAAAATTCTTCCAACTTGGATGAGCCAAGTAATTCAACCACTAGACTGAAGGCTCAGAGAGTTCACTTACTCAGTCCTCAAAGATGTATGGTTTCTCCTTTAATGTAAGTAATATCCAGCATGTGAGTGGGAAGAAACCTGCACAGAAAACAAACTGTCTAGCACATATTATCAACTTCAAAGTGGCAGAGGAGTTACCGACCCAATTTATATTATAGCACAGTAAAGATACGTTTAAGTTCAAAAGTACTGATTGACACTTAAGTGAATGACCCTTAAGTTCAGTACACCATTCTATAAATAGAGTCCTTTGGAACTATAAAAACAAAAGAATGAAAACCTCCCTACATATAAAGTGCAAAACCTGAGACAGAGAGTTTTGGTATATCATAATATATGCTGAGAAAAATTGGTCTATTAAAGAATATTATTTTCAGTTAGTAACTCATTTAAAATTACACACACACAAACACATACACACACACACAATTTAAAATTCTTGATTAATATAAGACTGTTACCAATAAAGAAAATAGAAAAGTAGCTCTATGTGATATGAAACAGTGGTAGCTGTAATAAAAGTACTAATTCTGAAATTAATTCTTTAATATATTTCTCTAGTAATTTTAATATACTTAAATATTGTTGCCAGATAGCTCAGCATATTGTAGTGCCTCCTTAGGCAGAGCAGAGCAGCTGAGGTTTGATGCTGGCCCCACCTCTGTGGTGCACTGAAATTAAGATTGAGACTAGGTGTAGTGGTGCATGCCTATAATCCTAGAGCTTGGGAGGCTGAAAACAGGAGAATCACTACGAGTCTGAGCTATGTAGTGAGACCATGTAGACCCTGTACCAAATACATTATATATATTAGTCAGTGACTGAACTAAATGACTATAATTTACCCACAGATTTGCCCTGAAGATTAAAAGCAAAATTATGCTTGTTGCTTCCAAGGTTCATGGTGTAAAGTGGTAGATACCTGATTAATTTAAATGAATTATTTTTAAATTATTACAGTCATTATTATCTGATGGACTTTGTATTTATACTAATAAGGATGCAAGCCAGAGCCAGAGAGAGAAAAAGAGAGCTAGGACACAATCAAATCTCTCTATGTACATGGATGGAGGTGTCACAGGGAAACCCACTAATCCAATTTAAAAAAAAAACTCATTAGAGCAAAGTGTTCTAATCACATTATCTATGCTACTAATGTATTTACTCAGAATCAACAGCAAAAATGTAAATATACATAAATTAGTGATTGACTAAATGCTTTCTTGTGCATGACACAATGAAAGAGAAAAGCAAATGCAGTGGAAAAATGACTCAGGCATGTGAGCAGCAATAAGAATGAATGTCCAAAATGAAAAGATTATGAAATTTATTATTTTATTTATATTAGTTTTGTTCAAAGACAAACCTCCACAACACAAATTAGATTGGCGACTCACAAGAACTTGAAAAACTGGAAGAGAAAAGATCAAAAACAGGCATCAAACACTTCGGAGGGTAATGGAAACATGCTATATCTTGATTTTGGTGTTTGTGTGAATATAAATATTTTCAAAGATTACAAAACTGTGTAAATACACCTATCAAAGATGAATTACTGTTTGTAAATAGTTTAATAGGCCACCCTAGAAAATGAAGTAAGTTAGCTATCTATGGTAAAAATAATATTATGGGGTAAAAAATACATAAACTGGATCTAAATATGTAAATGTTATTAATATCTATGATTTACTTTGGTGAATCTTTTTTTTTTTTTTTTTTTTTTTTGCAGAACCAGGGATTGAACTCAGGCCCTTGCGCTTGCCAGGGAAGCGCTTATTCCACTGAGCCATCTCCCCGGCCCCACTTTGGTGAATCTTGGACCTTGATGTTATATAATTATTTTTCAGTGGTCACAGCAGAACTTCAAAATTTTATATTAAAAGTACAAAGCAAGTAGGAAAGAAAGAGCCAACGTGAGATCTTAAACAACTGAAACAAATAAAAAATAGATCCAAAACCATGATGTATTACCTAAAATAATTTTGCATGACGTTTAACCAAACTGTATCAAAAAATCAATTTATATAATGAAAAGAAAATAGATTAGAAAGTCTTGAGATAATAGCTTAGATACATGTACAATTCTTAGTCACTCTTGATGTAGTAACTATATTCTTTTAATTGTAACCTCAGATTTGAATGAGATTAAATAATTGTATGGGCTGAAATCAATATTTAAAATGATTCAAATGATCCTCCAATGATATTTGCTACTTGCATTAATTAATAAAGTCACAAATCACAAAAGTTTACTAATTATTACACTTGTACTTATCATACTAGATGGAAAGCTCCTTCACTGTTCATAGGGTGGTTTTGGGGAAAATTGTTGTCCAAATACTGGCAGAATATCAAGCATCGAGATTACATTTTGGACAACAACTTTACTACTTGTGATGCAAGAGTTCAATATGTTTACACTGTTTACAAATTATATATTCACCTCACAATGTTGAGCTAACTGCACTGATAGCATTATGTATGAAACACAGAACTATGGGATTAAGCTATAAACCTGACTAACAATTGAGGGTCTTTTAATAGTTACTTGAAAGGCTTTCACTACAAAATGTAATTTTTTTTTTGGATAGGTAGGTACAAAAGCACTTTTATTGTGCTATTCACATTAAGGTGTGAATATTACTAAAGAAACTGTATCATATGTTAATTTCACTCTCAACATACTTCATGTGTGTCTTCCTGTACATACCATTGATCCCCACAGTAGGCAAGACATTTTCAGGGACACAATGATTGGGAACATGACAAGAAAGTGCACATAACATATAAAAACACTGCTGTCTAACCCATCTATACTTACTAACTGCTTTTACCACATTAACTCTACTTTTTGACTCCTAAACACATTCACATTAAATCTTAAAACCTAAGAATCTTTCCTGTGGAAAAGTCTCAAGACTCTCCTTCGTATCTGCTGGGTCTTGATGCTATAAATGATGGGGTTCATCAAGGGAGGGAAAAGGATGCAGATGTTGCCCATGAGCACATGAACCAGAGGGGAGAGGTGCTTTCCAAAGCAGTGCACCATGGTCAGGCCTATGATGGGGATGTAGAACACCAGCACCGCACAGAGGTGAGACACACAGGTTTGCAGGGATTTGAGTCTCTCCTCCTGGGATGCAATGGCTAAGACTGTGTGCAAGATCATGGCGTAGGAGACCAGGATGAGCACCGCGTCCAACAGCAGAGGGCTGATCACCAGAAAGATCATAGATGCTGTTGAAGCGGATGTCTGAGCAGGATGTTCGTATTAAGTCTTGGTGCAGGCGGAAGGAGTGAGAGAAAATATGAGGGCTGCAGTACATTAGAAACTTCAGGCGGATGACGGGAGGAATGAATAAAGTGCTCCTACATAAGGCCATTACACCAGTTTTCATTTGTTGAGATAGAGGAATAGCGTAGAGGGTTGCAAAAGGCACTGTAGTGGTCCAAGGACGTAGCTAGGAGGACAGAGGACTCCATTAATGAGAGAGAATGAATAAAATAGGACTGGGCAATGCTAGAATCCAGACTGATATCTTGAATAAACCTCCACAGAAGCCCCAGCACTATGTACAAGATGCACGGCCCCACAGACAGATCACTGAGGGCCAGTATAGCCAGGAAGTAGATCACGGGCTTGTGGAGGCTCGGCTCAGTTCATACCACGTGGAGCACCATGCAGTTTCCCAGGAACACTACAGTGTAGATGAGGCAGAAAGGGATGGAGGCAGCCTGAAAGTAACCTTCCAGGCCAATAAATCCAGTGAGGATAACTCCAGAACTATTTGAATTTGAGATAGACATAACAGACATTCATACACATCTGACGTATTTGTGCAGGTTATTGGCTCCTAAACAGTTTTAATTCCCTGACTTCTATTATTTATCTGCACTGGAGATGAAAATACAGTACAACTTCCATTAGCAACAAATAAAATTAAGTAAAGCAAAAATAAAGGTATAAAGCCAATTATATATTCTTTGTTCTTTATGGCAGCCATCGGTGGTCTTGACATGCCATTTGCAGAGCTATTGATGAGGGATTCCAGAAAGTTTGGGAGTGTTATGCAGAAAGTGTAACGCTAACAGGCATGTGGGATTGGCTCTGCCCAATCGTTAAGGAAGATAATGAAGGATCAGAGGTGTGGAGTGCAGCATTGGGGTGCGTTGAGCGCAAGAGATTTTGAAATACATTGGGCATTTGGTCCTCAGTACCAAGGCTGGGCCTTTCACTTCTCACAGCCCGGTATTAAATCTGAAAGAAATGGCCTTTTGAACATACTAAAGTTTGGAGAAAATAAAAGTTTTCCAAATAAACTGTACCAATTGGAATGCTTTTTTAAACCATACTCTGTTTTTGTTTCTCTTTAAATCATTTAAATATGTTGTGCTTTATTTTCCTTCTCTAATTTTCAGTGAACATGAGCTTTATAGCTTTTGTAGAGCTCACAGTGTTGTTATCATATCTCCCACTAAATTAAAATATGATGAATGAAGAAGATGGAAAAAAGGATGTATTGCAGTTTCTATGCTATCCAGGACTATCACTAGTTCCAGAAGAAAGAAAATTGCTTATTAAGCATGGCTCCATCGTACAATCAACCATTAGCCATAAAGACAACCTCTTTCGGCCTTACTTCCTGTAACTACTATATAATTATTCCAGAAATTCTACTATAATAAGTAGGTAGTGTGACATGAAGCAGATTTTTTTGATTAAAAGTCTATAAAATACTATTTGTATATATTTATAAGATTTCAAAATATAAACGAGTCTCATAAGCAGTGTTAATAATTTCTATACTTAAACAATTGACTGCTGGTCTCAGAGCAGTTAATGCTTAAATATTTTTTACTCTTTTTTTTTTCTTTGTAATTTTTGTAACTTTCTTTTTTTACTTAAAATACTGTTTATTTGTTTTTTGTTTTGTTTTGTTTTTGTGGAACCGGGGATTGAACTCAGGTCCTTGAGCTTGCCAGGAAAGTGCGCATTCCACTGAGCCATCTCCCCAGCCCCAGTACTGTTTATTTCTGATTTAACATTAATTGGCATAACATCTAAGAGCAGTGTCAGATAACATTTTTACATTTTTCCACAGGACACAGAAGTTCACTGACTCATTCATGGCAAAGCAAGTAAATAGAGGCCTGAGCAAAAGATACCATAGTTTATGGTTGCTTTAAAAAATATTTAGCACGTTGCATATATATATATAATGTATGGAAAGGCATAGTTCACTGTTTACTATTTCTGCATGCTTTGTAATGCAACATAAACAATGCAAAACACAAGATATCCTTAAATACACAGTTAAGCCACCAAAAGCTTGCACTCAGAGATTAGAACACTGATTGCAGTAGGCAGTGAGTTGGAAAGTGACATTTGCAGGCTCCATTCCAACTCTGCAATGCACACACAGATGGACAGAACCAGCCCTGTGCTCAGTGGAATTTCTTGCCTGCTATCTCACCCTTCAGCGTAAGTGGCAAGGATGATGTGTACAATGAGAAAGAAGAGCTGGCTCGTCGAGTGAGCAAAGTGACTATGGGTACAGCCATAGAAAACATCAAGATCACCATTTAGTCTCCAGAAGAAATTGAAGGAGCCATGTCACCTGATGGCTCGCCTTCAGAATCACCATCCAAGAAAAAGAAGAAATTCTGCACTCCTTCTTTTCTCAAAAAGAACGAGAATAAGGAGAAAGTTGAAGCTTAGCTAAAGTCTTTTTATAATTGCTACAATGTATTAGTAATCAATATGAACCAATAGTAACCAGTAGCAAC